GCAGTTATGCATTTGAGCGTTGTCTATGTTAATGATTTCAACGGACACTCGAATGTTTATATTTTCGAGGTCGAGTGTGTGAACTACTAATAGTAACAACCAACGTGGCCATCTCCGCGCACCACCTAAACTCGCGCTGGCGAAGAGGAGGCTAAAAAATAAAAGAGCGTACCCTGGTAAACATCCTATAAACAATACTTTTGGCGCCAACACGACGCCTTGGCAGATTCTTGGGCATCCTAGTTTGCAAAGTTGTGTCTACGTTGGCATATTTGTCCGTATGATGCAACCTGCAAATGCTAGTTTGCATTTAATCATGCACCGCCTAATTTACCAAATTGTTTCTTTCCGGGGAAACCATTTCCCATTGGAATTACAGTATACAGGGTGTGCAAGCCCCCTGTCGTCAGGCCTGCGGCGACCGTTGTCATCACCCAGGGCCCGAAAGAACGCTAACAGTAGCGATTAAGCCGCTCGCAGATGCAAATTTTATCACCGTGCCCCATTTCATTTACAGCCAACACGACTAGGACTTTCCAGTCTTTCAGTGTGGGAGAGGACGCGGGGAGTAAGGTCAGCCCAGTGTTGACTTCTTCACCGTGACGCGCCTTCAAACGGTGACGACAAGCTAAAAGTCCTGACCTGGGAAGTTTTCAATCAACGAGTTGACTTGGTCCACCTGCCGACTAAGAGTCAAGACGGGATGGCACCTTATCGTGCCCTTTATACGCCTCTCACGGGTGTTGGCGTCGAGGCATGAACGTGCGGTTTGTATTCATGTGTGGACCACGTATAAACGTTACATGGACGCGTTTTGTGCCATATAAGCCACCGTGACTCGCCCATATCAAGTAGTCTTGACGTTGTCTTGTCACCGAAACATGATGCGTTGGGATGACCAAACTGAGATAGCTTCGGGGGATAATTCGCCCTCAGTACAAACAAAATTCCACATAAGTCAATAGTGTTTTCACCGGGACGTGACGGGTGTCATCCTCAGTCTGTGACGAACTGTCGATCCTGGCAGTAGAGGACGCAGTGTACTCTACCTCCTCAGACGTCTTGATTGCC